AGCTGCTGGAAGATTGGAACTCATCAGATCTGTCATCCAAGGAATTGAAGGATTCTGGTTCCAAGCTTTCCCTATTCATAAATCTGTCTTGGATAGGATAACCTCCCTTTGTAGAACTTTCCTTTGGGGGAGCAAGTTCTGTAAGGTTGCTTGGGAGGATATCTGCAAGCCCAAGGATGAAGGGGGGCTTGGTTTGAACTAGCCCTGTATTTGGAATCAGGCACTTTTGAGCAAGAACTTGTGGAATATTGCCTCAAACAAGGAAACTCTGTGGGTGCAATGGGTTCACTCTGTTTACCTTGATGGCAATGACTTTTGGACTTGGAGCCCTGGGAAAAAGGACTCCCATTTCTTCAAAAAACTGATTGAAATCAGGGACATGCTGCTACTCAAGTGTGGGGACAGATGGGAACTTGAAAATCAACTTTGTGATCAGGGTGATATATCAGTTACCAAGGTGTATGACTTACTCAGAACCAGGGTAGTGATGAGACCCTGGATGAAGGCTTTTTGGAAACCCTACATCCCACCCAGATACTCCTTCTGTGCTTGGTTGATCTTCCGTAACAGGATTACTACCAAAACTAGCCTTCATTTCATTGCTATGGAGAATAGATTATGTGAACTTTGCCACAAGGAGGAGGAAACTGGCCAACACCTTTTTTTCAGCTGTGAAACCTCCACACTCATCTGGAATGCTGTTAGATCTTGGCTTGAGATAGCCCCTGCCCTGTCTACCCTGGACAGAGCCCTTACTTGGCTAAGGAGACTGAAGAATAACCATTGCTCTAAGAGGAAGATGATAAGGCTGACTATTCTCAGCACAGCCTACCACATTTGGAGATTAAGGAATGGTGTGTATTTTGACAACCAGGCCATAAATACTGATGCTATTGTGTGCAAGATCAAGGTGGGGGTCTTTAAAATAATGAACAGGTTATATCCCAATGGTGGTTAAGGCCCCCCCCCCCCTTGGATTTCATTGATTGGTCTCCCTGGATGTTGCTTGTGATCTTTGTGCTTACCCTTCCTATCCTTGTTGAGGATTCGTTGGGCGTTTACCCTGGTGGGATGCTGGACAAAGAGCTAACACTGGGGTCCCTTGGGTAACTGGTGTTATCCCTATGCCCAGTTTCTCTGGGGCTGGAAACATTTCAAATGTTAGAAACCCTCTTTGGAGGGTCTCTAACCTTTTTTATGGGTCCTTGGGGGTGATTTGGTGGGAAACAAAGCAGGCTATGCTATCCCCTTCTGGAATTGTTGAGACTGGCTTGGGTCCAGGGTTTCTCTCTCTCCTGTTTCCCCCCCTCCCCTTCTTTTCTTTCCATCACCTTCCTTCTACTCCCACTTTTCTAGGAGGCAAGTTAAATAATATGTGCCAAATCACTCCTTGGATTTGATACCTGTTAGCTTACCTTGGCTCCTCTTTGGGTGGTTGGGTTCCTGATAGCTTGGGTGCTATTGGGGTGTGGAAACAAACCATACCCTTTCTACCCCTTCTGGATAGGTAGGGAATGGCTTGGATCCAGGGCTGGAGGGTGTTCTCACCCTCTTTTCTTTCTTTTTCCCCCTCTCCCCTTCTTCCTTCTTCTTGCTTCTCCCTCCTTTCTTGGTCTTCCTCCTCTTTTGTCCCTTCTTCTGTTTCTGGAAACACGCTAAGTTTCACTCATCCAAACCCTCTTTGTTTT